AAGGGATGTCAGCAAGGAGGAATTTACAGCTCTTGGTTTTGGCTTCTGTGTTCTCTGGAATAAGGCAGGAGGGAGGGGTCTCAAAGGAGGGGAGGGGGCAGCAGGGAGGCACAACTGTGAAAACCATCTGGACCCTAGAGGTGTGTAGCAGCCTTAGGCCGGGGAGGAAGCCGTCCTTTGCCCTGCCTACACATGGGGCGAGTTAGAGGGGCAGTGGTGTGGCCCGGCCCTGGATCCATCCCTCCACCAGCCTTCCCTAGGCGGGCACCAAGGCCTGGCACAAAGCCCCCCCCCCCCAATCTGGGATTTGCCCTTGTGGTCCTGTGAAGTTGCAGGAAGGGCAGCCCTTCAGGGATCTACGGACTGTGAGTCTCAAAGGCAACTGGGACTTCTGTTTCTGCCTTGGAAGACATTTTGCTTCTCATCCAAGGAGCTTCTTCAGTTCTAGACTGAATATTCCAATTCATTCATTCATTCAGAGGATATTAAAAAACAAATGTGGATTTTTGACCCAGGACAATCTTGGGATGATCTGGGATAGTTAAGATGCCGTGGTAAATTTTCTACGAGTGGGTTACAATAAGAGTTTCTTAACACGAGAGCTTTGAAACTTTGTGTTGTTTTACTATTATTGTTTTTTTTCCCTGTTAGCTGCTTTGTCACTAATATAACTTATAGAAGACAGACCAAAAAATTGTTAATAGATTTAGTAGTTTAAACATTTGGGGAGGGCCTGTTTTGCAAGCGGTAGGAACTAAGGTAGTAATATATTAATCAGTATTCAACTAAAGGGGATGACATCTGTGTAATGTATAATGCACCTTTTTAAAAAAAATGTTCTGATCGCTTTGTGTGTTTTTTCTTTCTTTTATGTCTTTTTGGGTTTTTATTTGGTTTTCTATTTTGTGTTTTAACTTCGTTCTCAATAAAATAATAGCGGGGGGAAAAAAGCACTGAAGAAGCTTCTTGGATCAGAACCGAGATGTCTTCAAGGAAAAACAAAAACCCAAGAAAGTCCAGTTGCTTTTTGAAAAGAAAAAAAAAACACACTTTTGGCAACAACTCTGACCTGCTGGGTGGCTGAGAATCTCCAGAAACCCCATAGATCATTCGGGGCAGATTGTGGGAAAAGAAGAAGGATGGAGGCAACCAGGAGATATTTACAGGGTCACGGCCTACGGGTTGATTCCATCTGGATCTGCTCAGTCACCAGAAAGCCGGAGGGATTCCCCCCGCTTCCGTGGACCTCCAAGTCCTCCAGCCCCCTCCACATGGAGAGACCCTCTACACCACAGGTTTCCAAACTTGCCAACTTTAAGACTGGTGGACTTCAACTCTCAGCATTCTCCAGCCAGCTCTGCTGGCTGGAGAATGCTGGGAATTGAAGTCCACCAGTCTTAAAGTTGCAAGTTGGGGGGTGGGGGTCCTGCTCTACCCCTTCCCCCTTTTCTCTTCCAAGTAGGCAACTCGGTGTGTGTGTGTGTGTGTGTGCGCGCCAAGGAGAAACAGAGGAGGCCAGGGTGGGCAGAGACTCCCTCCACTCTCAATGAATGGGAGGAAATGCTCGGTGTTTTGTCTCCAGCTTGTCTGCCAACTGCAGCTTGGGCTTGGGGTGGGGGGTGGGTGGGAGAAGGGCTGAGGCCCCTTAGGAGAGGGGAAAGAGAGGCCAGCCCCCTCCCCTTCATTTGAGGAAACACAAGAGCCCGTTTATTACAAGGTTGGAAATGGTTTGACCCAGACAATCTTGTGCCCCGGCCTTCCGGCCATTGAACGGGGCGGCTGGGCAGCAAAAATGGCTTCTTGGATCTCTTAACAGGTTGATTTCTCTTTGTGACCCGATTCCATCACAGCCGCCTTTCCTGGGTGCTGACAAGACAGTTCGGCCTCCGAACAAAGGAGAATGTTTCCAGCTCAGGGTCGGCATGGAAGGGTCCCGGCTGCTCTCCGAGATGGCTGGTTTTGTTGCAGACGTTTCGTGACCCAGCTAGGGAACATCATCAGGGCTAGGAAGGAGCAATGTTAACTAAGTAACTTCATCTAAGCGCAGTTTAACTGCGCTCCTTCCTAGCACCGAGGATGACGTTCCCTAGCTGGGTCACGGAACGTCTGCAAGAAAGCCAGCCAGCTCAGGGAGCCCCAGGGACCCATAGCCCTCCTCTCTTCCTCCTCCTCCTCCTCCTCTCCCGAACACCCTCTCTCTTCTAGCACCGAGGATGATGTTCCCTAGCTGGGTCACGAAACATCTGCAAGAAAGCCAGCCAGCTCAGGGAGCACCAGGGATCCCCCCCCTCCCAAAGTTCAGACTGTCATCGTGTTGCTTTAAGGGACTTTACCTACAGGGCTAGTCCTCAGCTTACGACAGCAATCGAGGCCAGCATTTTCATGGCTGAGCAAGGTGGCGGTTAAATGAGCTGCCCCGAGTTAAGCAGCTCGACAAAATCGCCTTGGGGGCTTTTCTGACGGATCCTGAGGCCCTCAAGCTGGCCCAGCACAGACCCAGTCAACTCCTCACATCTTGGTTACTTTGGAGACCCAGATCTCATAGGGCGGCCCCGATTCTTGAAGGGCAGCTGGGCTCCCGGCAGGTCGCCGGAGAGCCGTTCTGAAGCTGGGCACGCAGGGGATCCTCAGTGGCCGGACCTGGGGGTGCTCACCTCCACGAGGGAGGCCCTGCAGTGGCTCGGATTGTCCTACACAGGGCAGGACCCGGGGGGGGGGGTCCGAGGGGGGGGGGGGAGGCGTGGGGAAGACACAGCCGCCCCCCCCCCCCCCCCAGCATCCCCTCAAGTGGCCTTCCAGGTTCTGCCTGGAGGACCTTCCCACCAGCCTTGATGACCCCCTGCCCAGCATCCTGACAAGGGAGCAAGTGGGTTTCTAAGAGAAATCGACCGAGTTGGGAGGGCTTTGCCGTCCTCGTTTTGCAACGGGGAACCTTGGCAGCCACAACCTTGGCAGCAGCCCCTCACCCCGCGGTCTCGTCTCCCTACCCCCCTCCTCCTCCTCCTCTTCCTGGAGTGGAGGGGAAGGGTGAGGTAACGTCAAAAGGTCCAGGAAGCGGAGCTATTATCCAGGCCAAACAGGAAGCAATGAGACAAGCCTTGGCAACCTTGGGATTTACTTGTTTACTTGGGGGGGCGGAGGGAGAAAGAGGAGGAAAAAGGAGGAGAAGGGGAAGGAGAAAAGGAGACGAAGAAAGGGGGGAGAGGAGAAAAAGGGAGGACCCAATATATACAAACAGCCTCCCCACCTATAAATCTATTACCAACTCCCCCCCCCCTTATTTCCAGGGCCAAGAAACGTCTATCTAGCTGACACATCTGGGTGGCTTCCCAGCTCCATCTAACTTGCTCCTGGGCTCCTGCAAGACCCCTCCGTGGCCTCCTCATCCGTGGTCTCCTCCTAGCTGCCACAGCCCCGAAAACCCTTTCCTCCACAGGTCTTTGCCAGGGATGCCGTGGTGGTGCCCTGGTTTGGAGCCCCTGCTACGCCAGGGGGGGGGGAGAAGCCCTAGAGGGGGGTCCTCCCTCATTCCCTCCGCTGTCAACCAGCATCGTCCTCTGGTGGCTCCCGACAGCCGAAGGCTAGTTAAGACTTGTGGCATCTGGGGAGGGGGATTTGAGGCCTCCTCCCCCTCCTCCTGTCCTTCTGGGCCTGGCATGGCCTGATCAAGGGAAGAAACGAAGAGCTTGTCCGTCGGCCTGGCCGGAGCAGAGCAACCTAGCCTGGCAAGGTGGAAGCTAGCAAGAAGCTACCTTGACCGGTGTCCTTCCAGGTGTCTGCCCAACTGATGACGTTCCAAGCCGGTGTTTTTGCAAAGTTGGCAACTTTAAGGCAGGTAGACTTCAATTCCCAGAAGAGCCGGATGGGGAACTCTGGGAGTTGAAGTCCGCAAAGGGGCCACGTTTGGAGACACACACACACACACACACACCCAACCGCTTCAGCGGGAGGGAAGAAATTGTCCCGAGATGGAAAAATGGTAAAAACTCGGCTGCAGCGTTTAGGCCTTGGAGGACGGAGCACCTTCGGGGGCCTGGCGGTCTCCCCCCCCCACCCGGAGGGCATTCCAGCTGCTTTCCTTTCCTGTTTACAGCTGGCCTCCACTTCAAGACAAAGAGCTGCAGCTGGTTTTTCAGTGGGGGTGGGGGGGGGACATTGAGGGTGGGGGGTGAGCAGATACAGGCGCTCAACTCACCGGGCAAGAAAATCCGGACGATGGGCCGACCCTGCCTGGCGCTCTTTGCCCTCCGGTCACTCAGAAACAAGGCCTGAGGGAGGTAAACCCCCCTCTCTTCTAGCAGGGATGGTGTTACCTGGTTGGGTGGGAAAATGTCTGCAAGAAAGCCACCGAGCCCAGAGAGCACCAAGGACCCCACAGTCGTTTTCTTCCTCCTCCTCCCCACAACCCCCCGCCTTCCTTCTAGCCCTGATGATGTTCCCTAGTTGGGTCATGAAACGCCTGCCAAGAAAACCACCCAGCGCAGAGAGCCCCGAGGGCCCCACAGAAGACTGACGTAGCTGAAGCATCGTTCTTACAAAGATGGCCATTTATTTGGAGTGCGCCCAGCATTCCTTTCCCTTCACCCCAACAGGCTGACCCACGGCACCGTCGGTCGCCCGATGGGAACATGATAACAAGGGGCGAGAGCCCTCCGGAGAGACCGTCCCTTCCTCTTCCTCCTCCTCCTCCTTCCCTGGCTGGAGTTTTTCTCTCCTTTTTGTTGCCGCTGCAGCCAGGCTGAGTCCCCGGGGATGGCGTGGCTGCCCGGCCCTCCTGGAGCCTGACCCGGAGCGGCCCCCTCCGCAGGGCTGGGGGACGGGCTCCCTTTCCCCCACCAAAGTCTTGGTCTCAAGAAATGAGGCGGCTGCTGCTGCTGCTGCTGGACGGGACCTCAGGGGGGGCAAGGAGGGCAGGTGGCAGCCCACCATCCGTGTCCGGGTTGGGCCGAAGTCTGGGCCCCTCCTGCTGCTGCAGCCTCCCCAAGAAGCCCGCCCCCCCCCCCCCCCCGCAGGCCGAGGGTCCGAGGGGCAGGAACGGCCGAGAGGTCCATTCGTGGATGGGGGCGGCTGGTCCTGAGGGGGTCCGGGGTCACTGCTGCTTGGAGCGAGGCCACAGCCGGCTGGCCAGGGAGCCCAGGAAGAGCTGCTGCTTCTTGTGCTGCGTCAGGTCGGAGAGGCGCTGCTGTTCCTCCTGGGGAAGGGCCACAGACACCGGCACGGCCGTCAGCCCCCCTCCCCTCCTCAGCCCACCCGGGCAGCCCCGTCCCCACCCAGAGGGGCCCAATCGGGCCACTTGAAGACCCACTGTGGACTTCCAAGAATTCCCCAGCCGGCACGATACAGGTCGACCTTGACTCAGCACCATTTAGTGACCGTCCAAAGTTACGACAGCACTGGAAAAAGGGCCTCATGGTTGTTTTTCAGTGTTAGGACTATTGCAGGGTCCCCGGGGCCAAAATTCAGACACTCGGCAACTGGCAGGTATTCATGATGGCTGCTACACTGTCTGCACTCCTGTTACTGTTAACCTTCTCATCATTCCTTATCGCCCTTCCCCTCCCTCTTGTGACGGTAGGACTGTAACTTGGTTGGTTGTATTCTTACTATTTATACTGACCGTTTCCTAGTATGGTTCGATTACTTATTTGTACCCTATGAGTGTTGTACCTGGTGATTCTTGACTCTTGACAAATGTCTCTTTTCTTTTTATGTACACAGAGAGCATTTGCACCAAAGACATTCCTGGTGTGTCCAACCACACTTGGCCAATAAAGAATCCTATTCTATCTTCTATCTTCTATCTTCTCTTCTCTTCTATTCTAATTCCATTCCATATTTTATTTTATTATTTCTTTTTTTCCCTATCCTATCCTATGCTATCCTATCCCCATTTCTATTCTATACCGTCCTGGGGCCACATGGTCCCCCTTGGCGACCTTCTCAGCTGTCTTCCAACAAGCCGGTGGGGAAGCCAGATTCGCTTAATGACTGCAGGGATTCACTTAACAATAGTGGAAAAAGGTCACAAGATGAGAAGCAACTCACTTAGCAACTGCCTTGGTTAGTGACATAAAGATTGGGCGGAATCGTAGTTCTAGTAAAGGAGAACCTTGGTGGCTCAGGGCTGACATGAGGGCTCCTGGGTGGTCTCTGATCTGGCTTGTCCCCTAGTTTGGGCAATGAAACGTCTGCCAGGAAACGACCCCCCATGTCAGCCCTGAGCTACGGAGACACCCCCCCCCCTCATGAATTGTGGCTCTGGGTCAAGGACGGCCCGTGATTCCCCTCCCCGCTTCTCACTCTCACCTGCTCCAGCTGGGACTGCCTGCGTTTGAAAGCCTCCAGCGGATCTTCTTCCAAGGAATAGTTCTCCAGCACCGAGCGAACGTCTTCCACTCCGCTCAGGGCAATGGCTGCAGGCGAGAAGAACCACAGATGAGGCCCGGCCCGAAGACCGGGCAAAGCGATCAAGGCAACAGCCTGGCTTTCTTCCTCCAAGGGGACTCCCTTCAGCCTCTCTCCGTTACCACCCTCTGCCACCTGGCACCCGGGGGTCTCCAGGCCAAGGCCTGACCAGGCCAGGGCTCCAAGCTCCCCCTGGATCTCCCAGGGAAAAACAGCTGGGAGGGGATGGGCGAGGGTCTCCTCTGGCTCGTCTGCTGGCTTCCTGGAAACTCTGCTTGCTTTTTCAAAAAGAAGTTATCATAATACAAAATAGAAATAGGAATAAAGATAGGGAAATGGGGAAGGGGAAAAGGCGAGTGGGGGATAGAAGGCTAAAAATGTCCAGGTTTTTTTTCAGGGCAGTAAAATACAAAATAAAACCACCACCTCCCAACTTGACAAACGCTGTAACAACCAAGGGCATTAATCCATGAAACCCCCACGTCCGAAAGTCGTGCTCCCCCCCCCCCAGGCTCACTTTTGAGGAAGGCCGACAGGTCGAAGAGGGTGCGGTCGTCGGAGTTCCCGTCCCACTTCTTGAGGGCCAGGCCGTTGAAGGGCTGCAGGCGGAAGGCCTCCTTCTTGCAATCCACCACCACCACCTTGGACGGGTCCCTGTTCAGGCAGGAGATGTCCTGGGGGGAGCAAGGAGAGAGGCAGGTGGCACCTCTGACCGCTTATCATCCGTCCCTCCCTTCATCCAATGAATCAACCTTTATGCCTTCTCTGCCTGGCTGTCCATCCATCCATCCCTCCATCATCCCTCCATCTCTCTCCATCCAATGAATCAACCTTTATGTCTTCTGTACATCTGTCTGTCTATCATCTATCCATCCATCCAATCAACATATCTATCTGTCTCTCTCTGCTGTCCATCCATCCACCCACCAACTTTAAGATGAGTGGACTTCAACTCCCAGAATTACCCAGCCAGCAAAACTGATGGATCTCTCTCTCTCTCATATATCTATCTATATCTTTACTTTTAAAACCGCCCATCACCTTCAACTCTGGGTGCTGTACAGATAAAATATCAAAGCCTAAACAGGCAATACACAATGGAAGGATAAATTAACATGAGCGGGAAAATTAACTCAAAGGCGGGGAGGGGGGAGCTTTGAGGGTGCTAGCCAGCCCCTAAGTGGCCGTGGGCTCTCCGGGGCTCCTCCAGCCCTTTCGCAAAAGTCCAGCAAAGAAGGGGAGCCGGAGGAGAGGGCATGTGCTTCCCCCTCCTCCCATGTGGCCCAAGGGCATTCGGCCTGCGAGGGTTCCTGGCAGGGAAATTCCCACATCCTTCCACCGTTTTTTTTCCTCCTGCCTCCTTTCAAAGGACAATTCGGAGAAATTCTGTACAGTATTTTTCAGGCTGAGGGCTCCTGGTTGATGCAAGGCTGTATTGCGACGGAGGTTCTTTGGACCGGATGCAGCCGTTGTGTTAAAACGACCATTTCCTAGTAATGAACCGGGATAAGTCAATACCGCTCAAATGATCCATTTCATCGGAAAAGGGCTACGGCACGAGCTTCAGAAGAAATCATGAAAACGGCCACCATGGCTCAGCTTTTAAAGCAACGATGCCTATTTTTTCATGCACCAAATATTCCAAAGTCCCAGGTCCTTGGAAAAATTAAAAATGAACTCCGGATTCCTCACCGTGACAAGTAGCTGGAAGTTAGTCATTAAGTAGTTCAATCAACTAGTTTTCTGTAGAGTTTTTTCCCCCCTCCTTTTCATTTGCTTTGGTTGCCTTGATGGATTAGAACAGACCTGCCTCTTCAACAAATCACTCCAACTTCCAAATCTTTATTCTCAGTACAAAGACAAAGCAATCAGAAACCTGACCCCCCCCACCCAGGCCCAGTGAAAAATGCCTTCTTTCAAGCTATGTTTAGTTGTCTGGCCGGCATGGCTTTTGTATTATTTATTGTTTGATCATAAAAGATAAAATGCAAAACTGAAAAACAAACAAACAAAAAGAAAATGAAACAAAAGCACGCATTCAACATTCACCACAACAAAAAAGGGGGAAAAAATAGTGTACCCAAAAGAGAGAGAGAAAAGTGACCTAATAAATTTAACATTTAATATGCAGGATCCACTCTGGCTGGGAGGGGAGGGGAGGGGTAAAAAGCTTGGCTGGCTTGTTCCAAGAATCCCCCCCCCAAAAGATCCCTGAGCATTTGGGCTCAAGTGAGTCCTGTCTCTTGTCTCCATCTTGAATGCAACCACCCAAAAGTGCTTCTCCCAGGAAGAGAAACCCCCCCACCCCGCTATGCTTACTTTGGGGGGGGGGGAGAATCCAAACAATTAAGATGGGGAGGGCCCCCCCCCCTGCAGCAGCAGATGGGAGGTGACGGGGAGGGGGGAGGCAGACAGAAGGCAGCTTTGCCCCCAGTCCCGGGGAGCCCAGCTAAGCCCTCCCCCTCCCTCTATTGTGGAGGGGCAGCCGGCCCAGGGGACTCGCCTGCCTGGTGGAGCACGTGGCCAAGGCAGCTGCTCCCTCATCCAGAGAGGCAACAGGCAGCCCGAGGCTGCGGGAAAAGGCATTCTGGGATGCCGAGGGGGGGTCCACGGCAGGGGGAGAAGTCCGGGGTCCTCAGGGAGGTTCGGGGTCCTGGACTCCTTTCTGGGAGGTAGTGAATCCTCCTCGCTGGGTGACTTAGATGGCAAATTCTAGCCCCGGTTTGGCATGCAAGACAACTGGGTGGTTCTGGGCCAGTCCCTCTCAGCCCAGCCCAGCCCAGCCCAGCCCACCTCACAGGGTTATTATCATGGCAAAATAGGAGCACGACACTGTGCTGGGCATGTTCGCTGGTTTATTTGTAAATGTAATAAACCTGGGATACAAATAAATAAATAAATAAAATAAATAAAATAAAATAAAACCAATTCTCGGGGGTGCTAATACACAACTACTTGCATCCCTGTGTATTATCCTCACACTGCAAGACAAAGCCACCTTGTGATTCACTTGAGGATTGTGGCAAGAAAGATTGTAAAAACGGGGCAAAAACTCGCACAATGCCTGTCTAGCTTAGCAATAGGAATTTTGGCTCCGTTGTGGTCGAGGACTACCTGTGCCCTGATAAATCTGGAGAATGTGCAGCCCATTGTAGCAGAACAGCCAAAACCAGAATTACCAGCCCAGAAGTAAAACCCATTAAAAAGAGCAAAAGGCCAAGAAACGGGAACAGCAGTTGAGCTCTGCGTGTCCTTCTTTCCCAGGTATAAGCTTCTTTTCAAGGTGCGTATTCGTTTTACGGGCGGCCTCCTTTGGCCACCTCAGGTGGGACTCTAAAGCCCCCTACAAGGGATCCCTGGGGCCCCTCCCACACGGGGCCCCTCCCAGACGGGGCCCCAGGGCCCTCCCGCCCGTGCTGCAGCCCTACCTTCACATGATGCCCGTCCATATAGCGCGTGGCGTCTCGGAAGAGCCGATAGGAGATGAAGCCGTGGGGATCCACGCTGTCGATGAGGGGGAAAGCTGTCTGGGAGAGGAGAGAGAAGGCCGAAGGAAATGACCAGCCCAGAAGGATCCTAAAAGGACTTTCAAAGAGGATGCCCAGGTGTGTCAGGAGCGACATCGGCTCGGATCGAAGGACGTTAAAAGTGGCCTGACTCTTGAGGCGCTCTGGGCGCTCTCAGGAAACCAGCCCTCTGCCTTCCTTCTGAGAAATTATGCTTTCCACGGGAATCTGAACTACGGACGGTCAAAGCCAATTGGCGGCAGATAAGAGTCAGCGCAAGTCACGGGGGGCTGGAGTTACATTACCTTGTGGGCACGAAGAGATTCGAGACTGATGACACGTTTGATCCCTCCCTCCCTCCCTCGGGCTCAGCCTGGTCACCTCCTACAGGTAGTCCTCAACTTACAACCGTTCATTTAGTGACTGTTCAAAGTTACAACAGAATTGAAAAAAGTGACTTCTGACCATTTTTCACACAATGATCGTTGCCAGCATCCCCGGGGTTATTTGATCAAAATTTGGACCCTTGGCAACTGATTCGTATTTATGACGGTCGCAGTGTCCCCTTGGGGTCACGTGATCCCCTTTTGCGACCTTCTGATAAGCAAAGACAACGGGGAAGCCAGGCTCACTTAACAATCATGTTCCTAACTTGACAATTAGTGATTCACTGAACAACGGTGACCAGAAAGGTCCTAAAACGGGGCACAATTCACTTAATGAAGCTTTCGCTCAGCAACAGAAATGTTGGGGCTCAATTGTAGTCGTTAAGTCGAGGACTACCTACATTCTTAGAACATCTAAGATATTCTTTGACTATATAACGTATTCTTAGGTTATTCAGAACATCGAAGACATTCTCTTGACTACGTCCCTTTTCTTGAGGGGTTAACCAGGCCCTTAAGCAAGGGGCTGTTGTGAATTGTGACGCTGGGCCGGCCCTTTTTGGAGCCGCAGCTCTGGATTTGACCTAGCTGGATCCCGTGGGTTAACTAAGCGCCTTTTCCCTGAGAGGTCCCTGACCTTCGGGGTGAAGACTTGGGTGCTGCTTTCTCCCCAAGGACAGGCCCACTCAATTAGCACAGCAAGGGTTCGGGTTCAATAGGCTGCAAGGTTCAGGGAGGGGGCCATTCATATTCAAATCAGCCGCGGCACGCTCCCTGGGAGAGACCCCACTGCCGCCACCCACTCAAGCGTGAGAAAGGAGGAGAAAGGAGGAGCGTGGAAGGGAAGAGAGGGCCAAGGCACAGGCTAACCAGCCGGGCTAACCTGCCCCTCCCTCTCCCTCTCCCTCTCCCTCTCCCTCTCCCTCTCTCTCTCTCTCTCTCTCTCTCTCTCTCTCGATGGCCTGGCATGGTCTAAGGTTATATCCCCTGCGGTCACCCTGCATCTGTGTGGCCAACGTGGACATTGGACACGAGGTCCAGGCTGGCCTGAAACTAGCTGGATCACCCTTCCCTTCCTCTGCCGGAACATTCATGTCCGTTTTCCCCAGCCGGGCACAAATCTCAGCTCAGCGATGGCTGGAACAGTGTTTGCTGGCCCAGCAGCGGCCAAAACTATAAGGGAGTTTTAGCTAAAGGGCAACTTTAAGACTTGGGGACTTCAACTCCCAGAATCCCCCAGGCAACCAGGATTCTGGGAGTTTGAAGTCCACAAGTCTTAAAGTTGCCACAGTTGGAGGCTCCTGAGCTAAAAGAATCTATTCAGGGCTTAACTTAAAAAATAAATAATGGATTTTAATTTCAATAAAAGCAGACAAGTTCATTCTGCATACTCAAAGCCTCTTTAAAATGGGGGAGAAAAGAGGAGCCAAGCACTCTGCAAAGTCCCAAACCACTTTGCCAACTGGCAGGGCCCCTCCCTGGAGCACTCACCATGCCCGTTTCCGAGGTGAAAATGACGATTTCGTAGAGAGGAGCCAACTGCTGGAAGAGGTTGTCGATGCCCGGCCTTTTTTTAAAGCGCCAGCCGGTCACTAACTGAGGACAGGAGAGAGAGAGAGAAGAGAGATCTTGAGAGAGAGCCAATGCCCGCTAGGCAGAAAGGACAATTATCACCTAACCCCCTGCAGATATTCTGGTACTTTTCTTGCAGATGTTTTATTATCGAACTAGGTAAAATCAGACCGCTCCCTTGTAAACCCTGATGATGTTACCTAGTTGGGTCATGAAACGTCTGCAAGAAAAGCACCAAGCTCAGAGAGCGCCAAGGACCCCACACCACTCAAACGGTTGGTAGGTGGGGCAGGGTGGCAACCAAGTGCCCGGTTGTGCCCCCTGGCTCTGAGGGGAACACGCTGCCCCCATCCCCAATTCCTGGAAAGGATACAGACCGACCATTCAGGGTGCAGCAGGACATCGGTGAGTTCGATGACCAGGGTGTAAGGCGGCTGGTAATACGGTTCCTTCAAGGGATCCGGCAGCAACTTAGGGCTGGTGGGCTCCATGATCATCTGGAAAAAGAAACCGAGGCCCTCAGATGAGGCCAAGATGCAGAACGGGGTTGTCAGGGGGGGGGGGGGGGGGGGGGGGGGGGGGGGGGGGGGGGGGG